TTTCTTTTGTTGAACATACACATACTTGTACATTGTACTCCAGGACTTGTATTTGATTTACGGATGAATGATGGAATAGTGTAATTTACTTCTGTACGTCAAGTCGGTCTCACTGTATTTCAGTGGGCGGCTTTTAAAGTTAAAACTACAAGCGTAATACACACAAATATCATAACACTGTGTTGCATTTACTTAATGTAGGGGAGTTGCGCTATATCTTATTCCATAGGAAATTTTGCACCCCTTCACACCTGCACTCGGGGGCAACTGCCCCCCTCTTGCTATGCCACTGCCCCCTTTATTTTTCATAAAGTTCCTGTAGTCAATCTTTTTTTTCTTGAGCAATTTTATTATACACAGATATAGAGTGCTCTGTATTTATTATGTTTTAAAATTTTGGATTGCTCTTTACATAAGGACTAATAACTACCACTTTAAATGATTAGGAAAGCTACAATTTATAAACAAATATATCATTCAATTAGATTAGAATTACTCTTAACCCTACACATCTGTTCATACAAAATGTTTACTTAAGAGCTTTAAAATGCAAAGTCAGTTGAAACTGATTAATAGTTTGATATTTTCAAACCAACCAATAAATAGCCAAGTTTTATACAAGTGCCAATAATAGTCTAAATAATTTTGCAGAAATAATTTTTGTGAAACATTCAATTTTTAGCAGTACATGTAAATGTACATTTCTAGCTGAAAACTATAATATTGGATTATCAATACATTAAAGCAAGAACACCATCAAACAAAATGCAAAACTGATTCAACAACCCCTATTATCCAGCACATGTAGCACTTGTTTATATTATGATTATCTGAAAAGAATGAATGGAACTCAAGACAATCCCAAAATGATTCCTAATAAACAATATTTTCTTCAGCCTTGTACTCTTTCCTTTTAAGTGGCAAACACGTACACTAGTACACATATAAGCACTAACTACTGTTATATGCAAATTAATGACTAAGTCATTACTGAAAAGTTACGAATATGATTATAGTAGGTCATAACTTAATGAAAATTACCAGTGATCATTTTGTACCACATCAGATGAAGATAACAATAATCAATATCTATAGCGTAACTAAGTTAACTACATATATATGTAGATCAGAACTAAAAAGTGATTTATAAATTAATGAAGTCTATACAATAAAATGACAAGAAATGTGTTATGGCAAAAAACAGTACTAAAACTAAAGCAAATAATGATATTAAACCATATTACTGTATTTGGAGATTTGATAAATGAAAAGCTGAGGGTACTAATTAAGAAAGCAAAAACTGCACAGAGGACAATAATAGATAAATTGCCCTTCCTTCTTTTATTATTAAAACTCTAATAACCTTATTGCATGATAACTGCCATATGGAAAGTGATAATTGATCCATTCAACTGATTGTGAAGTACTTGTGTCTATAACAATCAGAGCCAAAAGTTTATATTAAAAAAAAAAGTGGAAATGTGCCTTATTTCAGGGTCTTTTTTTATCTATTCTTGAACAAAAATCCAAACATAAAATAGAGCATATACATCATTACAAAGTTTTCAGTTACCATACAAAAAATTATAGTAACCAAGTCAGCTAATTGTGGGTGATGGATATTAACACACACACACACACACACACGAACAATGGATCATCTTTATAGTAAGATTAACAATCACAGTGCACAATTCTAAACATAAAATAATTCAATTCAATCTTGAAGTTTTCATAATACATATTGCATGCAAAAACCTGAAACCATGTTCCTATACTACAATTTTCCAATAATCAAGAAAAAAAATGTGTAGACTGAAACTTTAAAAACAGTATAACAAATCACTGTTATTCAGTAGAAACTCTGCTACAGAATTTCTAAACAAAAATAATATTCATTAGATGTTTGAAGCAAGAAAACCTCCCAAAATAATTAGAAAGTATAATAAGTGAATAAAGAAAACATATGTTTTGTTACAGCTAAAGAAGTATTTCAAAAACTTTGTACATGATAATAACAGCCAGTGGAAAGAGTTAAGTTTAGCAAGAAAGTTAAAACTGATTTTCTTATCGTGAACCCTCTATTAATTTGTCCTGTAATTTAAGAGAATGAGTAAAATATATATTTTAAACTTTATAAACATGGTAAGAAATAGCAAATGTGTTAAGTTTCCTGGGAAGCCTTTATTACCTATATTTAAAATTTAGTGTTATGAGATGAAAAATTCAAATGCGAGTCTATAGTTAATTTTGAGGTATAACTATGCAACAAATCAACAAATAAAATAATCTGGTTTTAAATTAAAAGAAAATTCCAGCTTACATGGAATGTTAATTGAGTTGGGAATAGTTCCATATTCCTCAATTTCTTTTGGTTCTCTGACATCAATTAGCTGTATATCTCCACCATGGACCAAAGCTTCAAGGTCTTCAAATGTAATGTCACGACCCTTTATTGATGTACAATATCTCCTCTTTATGAGTAAGCTGCAAGCTTTATTAGGTAAGAAGAAACCACGAAAGTAAAATTCATTAATTTTTATTTGGTATTTCTTGTTTAAGAAAATATTACTTCATATTACATGATTTCATTAAACTGCCTTTAAATGACTGAACATGTTCATAAAAAATATAAAGGAACTTTTCTGCCACATATTGTTTAATAATATATTAGTAGTAGTAGTAAACTAGTATGCAAATTTAGTTAACTTATTTTGCAAATGTGAGAAAAAAATTTCACAAATATTTTATTACAATAATTATTGCTAATTTTAAGAAATCAACACACAATATGACCAAGAAATGTGGTCATAAAATATATACAAATTATTGTGATATATTGCTGTAAAATTTCATATGCTGGAAATTGTACGAGTAATTATAACTATTAAGCTTGCTGTACAAATAACATACACACTTACGGGTCACGAAGATTTCGTCATTGCTGAATTCAGGTGGAGATGATAAAGTACACACAACTCTGTCCCTTGTGCAACAAGTAGACACACACGCAGTGGTGGGAGGGTTAACGTGTTGTTTTGGGAAAGCTTTGTATAAAAATAGTGTACGTGACTTTGATAAATTACACCATCGTAAAAACAGTTTGCTAGTAGTGGAAGTACACCTAGCGAACGCAACCGCCATTGTGCCAGAAGCAAAAATTAACTGTTTATGGGCTCAAGGTCAGAACAGCCGCGTCTTGGCCCTTCGGTTATCCAACGTTTGACCTGAAATTATATACATTATCATATAATATAAATTTGATGATATCGTACTTTAAGTCCTATTTATATTTTCTTTTTTTTTTTACATGGACAATGTTTAATTAAGCCTTTATACTTACCATCAAAATATTACAAAACTTTGAGTTCATGAGAAACACATAGCTAACATAAGCGTTAAAATTTATCCACGTTTTTTAAGTATTGTTGCGTCAGCGAGTCACATGACTGGTGTGACGCCACGTTTCTAGAACTATCCCGTATCTTGGCGAATGCTTTAGTATTTACTAGATGGAGGGTAGACTGGTATATAAAGGAGGGTGACAACTTGACGGGAGATTAAGGTAATGCGTGTGAGTGGATAGTGAGTAATTGAACTGCAGTCACAGGGTATTGTTGAAGTTAACGTTCGTTCGTTACAGTGTTGTTTTAGCGCGAGTATTGAGATTAAGTGTATCGC